AGGGATGCGTGATCAAAAAGGTTTGGAGACCACTGCATTAAACAACAAACTAGCCACATCCCCCCCTCAGGAGCCTAAAGGATGTCATGCCAACTCAGAAAGATGGTTAATTCCATACACTCAATTGAGTTAAGCATGCCATGTGGATAAGGAAACTCAGAGATCGCCTAGTGCAGAAATTCTCAACTATTTGTAACATAGGCCCCACCATTCACTCTATGAAATAAACCTCCTTTTTTTTTTTTAAGATTGAACAAGAAAGCCCACATTTCCCAAGCAGGTTATTTAAAGGGTTACGGGCGTTCAGTTATCACATTTTTCATTTGTTTGTGAAATGCGTTGTGCCGTAATTTATTGACATACAAAGCATTTCTTTCCCCCCCACTTCTAATATTTGTAGTTTCTGTCTTTTAATCCAAGAGGGCTGCCAGCCCCCCACCCCCACCCCGGATTATTATGATTAAGGGAAAACAAGCAGTTTTCCAAAACTTCTTCCGGTGTGGAGGAGGGACGTTAAGAGTGTCAGAACTCTTTTTCTGGCCTTGCAGGCCAATGCGTTCGCATGGGGAATGGTTTATTTTAATCGTAGTTTGCTAAACAAATGGCAAGGGTAGGATCCACCCAATGCACCAAGCTAAAACCAAACAGTGTTATGGCTTAGGGTGAAATATGACCCTTCCACCTGGCACCTCTCCTACAGAGATTCTGCAGGTTGTGGGTCAAACAGCAGAAGCAAATTATTTCTCATCTTCAAACAAAATTGCTTCCCTTTTCAAGGATTGCTTGTCCAGGTGGCAGCTTTCCAGGTTCAGTGAAGTTCCCATCACTTGCTACCTGATCCAAATCAGATCCCACACTGAGGAGAGCGTAGACCTTCTGGTTCAAAGCATCTGCTCTGACTTGGAGGATCTCAGGCAGATGTATCTGACGCCATGGTGTCCCCAGGTTACAATCATAATTATTAAGGCCGATTTAAGGGCCAGAGAGGAACAACTTATTCCACTTGGAATATTGAATTTGAGGTGGGTAACAAAAATGTATTTTGTTCAGTTTTGTCCACATCTTCCCCATCCTGGTACCCTCCTGACATTTTGGACTACAGCTCCCATCATCTCAACAGGCTGAGACTGATGGAAACTGCCATCAGCTTTGGAAGCCACAGCTTTGCAGGAAGCAATGTGTCTGACAAGTATACCCTTCACATCCATGTATAAGGTCATTTCCTTTGAATTCATCTTGACTCCTGGCGATTTCATGAAGACACTGTGCAAATGTTCTTGGCAAGAACACAGGAATATTTCCCATGGCCCTTCTCCAGGAAGGTTTTTGATTTCTTAGTCCAGCCCACAGCTGTGGCATTGCCTAATGGTCTCCCATCCAAGGACTAACCAGGCCAGAATCTGCTTAGCTTCTGGACCCAGTCATATATTTTCCCTAACTAAAGCCACAGCCATCTACACTATCATAAAGGCCACAATCTGTCCACTCACACACCCTTGACTAAAATTATATCCCTCAGCACAGAGAGTTTTGTTTCTTTTCAAACACACAAGCGTACAAGCTCAAATTAAAACTTGCAGGAGTTACTGTAAGACAGTGTTTCTCAACCTTGGCCACTTTAAGCTGTGTGGACGTCAACTCCCAGAATTCCCCAGC